TGCTTCAAAGATACACCAAAGCTTCGCTAATTTCTTAATCACACATAAAGCAACACTTGATTAAATCCTAATTAATAATAGGTTTGAATAGCAACATCTATTTTTATAGCTTAGAAAAATCTTAGAAAATTGCCATAGCACAGTACTACCCTAAGTAGTCTACCATCAAATTTTTATGGCATTTGGATAAGTGGAATAGCCTACACAAAAATGACAAGCTATGGCATAATTATGAACATGAAAATACTTTGTATTATGAAAAGTGTCAAACAACAGATTTAGTATTTTTTCTAGGTTCTAAACAGTAAATAATCACTGTACAAAAATTATCACATGCATGTTTTATTCAAATTTTGCTCTCTAGCAAAAATAACAAAAATCAGCCATAAAAGGCATTTGAACTACATCTCATAATTTTTCTACAAGACATGCATGGCATATAATTTTCCTAGGAAGTACATTACACAAGAAGAATAACACACTTGGAAGCATATTTTTCTGAAGCATATAAGTTTTAATGCACATTTTACAAGATATCAGCAATATCAAGAATTAAATAAAACTCTACAGAAAAGAATCTAAAAAATGACATGCAATATTTTTATCATGTAGATATGGTGACAAGGAACACAACAAAATTTGTTTCAACAAATTTGGAGTCAAAATGAGTACACAAACATTTCCCAAAGCATTTAAATAGAAATCTGAAAAATCATTTTTGAAATCCTTTTAAACTTCAGCTGACGAAATTGTTGGGTGTGCGGTGTGTCTGTGCACCCGAACTTCCACCGATGATCGCTGGCCGGGCCCTGTGGGCCCCACAAAGTTAGCGACCGAGAGCGGGGGGAGGAGCTCACGACCGGGTGCTCACCGGTGGCAAGCCCCCCTTCTGTGGTGTGGTGGTGCACAGGCACACCACGCCGAGGCGCACCGGCTGGGAGGGTGGCATTGGCCCGACGGCGAGACGGACCACGTGGCCACGGCAGCACGCTCGTCGGAGAGGAAGGAGGCGCCAAGCTCGGCCCTTACCTCGACGACGACGGCGGCAAAGCAAAAGCACAAAGTAGGTAGGGACCTAAGGCATGATTGCTTTGGTGGCGAGGTGAATCAAAGAATGGAGGCGTGGAAGGAGGGGGTGTCGCCGGGCGGGCGGCGGCGGCGTTCGGTGGCGAGCGGGCGCGGCTGCTTCTTTGCCGCGAGCTTCTAAGCGAGAGAGAGAGAGCGGGGAGTGCAGCTGGGCAAGAAGAAGAAGGCGAAGGTGGAGGAGGCGGAGGCGTGCCGTGCTGCCGGGCTGGCGTCGCGGCGCGTCGTCGGCGCATGGTCGCCACGTGTGATCGGCTCTGGCTCAAGGTTGGTTGGGACGTTGGGCGCTGGAACAGCAATGTGAGGAGGAGAGAAGGTCGTCTTGTGCCAGGTAAAGGTGGGTGGGGACGACACGACAAGTGGCAGGGTGGTGTAAAAGCCGAGCCATGACCCGTGAAAGGATAGAAACACTTTTCAATTTTCTATTTTCAAGGAAATTTCAAATAGCAGTTTTCAAATACCCTTTTGAGCAAGAAAATGACTTCTTTTGAAAATGGCCCAAAAATAAAAGTTGCTTAGAATTTAATCCTCTACAACTTTGTTTTTATAACCAAAGTCCAATTCTTGCTAGATTTTGAATTATAAAATTAAAGTCAATTTTAACTCAAAACCTTAATTTTGGAGAGTTATTTTTAAAGTAAAATTTGGCAATAATTTAAATACAAACTTTACTCCAAAAATTGTGCTAAATAATTCTAGATGATTTACAATCATAGCCAAACAAGTTTTACTAACTTAGCAAGCATAATTTAGGCAAAAACAACTCTAAACAGGTGTATGCAACATTCATGTTTCACGAGCACGTTTCAGATGTTTCGAAGCATGGTTTCAGTTATTATTTACATGATTAGGTATGTATGATTAGGATGCTTGATGATGCATAATATGCATGATTTGCAGTGCCTAAATACTGACATAACACCGGGGTGTTACAGTAGGCTTGCACCATCAATGGTAGAAGCACTTATGTGTATGCAAGCTTGGTCTCGTGCCGACATGATAGGTAAATGATATGTGATCTATTGCATAATTGCAAGTGAACATGTTTATTTCATGTAAGTACTAATATTTAATTTATAAACACTTTGGCACTCCAGGGTCTCAGTCTTGTTTTGTTAGTGCTTTGATGACTTGTCTTGATGAAGAAGAGGAAGAAATGGTATTCCTATTATTTTTCCATATTCCAGTTGTGATGAATCGATGATTTAGTTCTATATAATATATAGTATATATACTGATCTATTCTATGTATCTTTACTTTGCAGGATGTACCAGCTTCCACGGTTATTGATGAATGATGATGATTGACGATGATGGCATGAAATGAAGATGAAGGCCTTCTGAAAATTCTTATTTATATAATAGTATATTAATAGTCCTATTCTCGTTTTTACGTTTCAAGAAACTCTAGTACTCTACTGGTAGTCTGGTACTGCAGTATGCTCATGCACTTGCCTTGGGCCATTGGCCTTGGATTGTTTTAAATTTTTAATTGTTCATGGACAACGGCATAACCTTGAGTGAATGTTAATTATCTCCAATTCAGACGTAATTGTGCGTGTGCTTGACCATGGGTGCTTGTTATCTTCATTTCAGACGTTCAGTACTTCATATGCGGCACAATTGTTGTAAAGTTCGCGGGTTTCGGGGAACCCGTCGGGTTTCGGGGACCCGCCGGGTTCGGGGCCGGGGGCAGATCTTCACCCGTCACAGGTTTTGGGTAGTGTTGTCGGGTCTCGGGTGCGGATCCGCGGACTATCGACCCGACCCGAATCCGACTCGTTGCCATCTTTAGTAGCACTTTCGTTTTTATTTTGCAAATAGTGTTCAATCATGGACTAATTAGGCTCAAAACGTTCGTCTCGCGATTTCCAATCAAACTGTGCAATTAGTTTTTTTTGTCTACATTTAATGCTCTATGCACGTATCGCAAGATTCAATGTAATGGGTATACTGTAGCACTTTTTTGAATTTTTTTTTTTTGAACTAATCACGGGCCCAGTGAAGAGCCGCTGCCCGCTGGCCGCCCACGCCGTCTCCATCCCTCCTCCGCCTTGAGGCCACTGCGAAGCTTCTCAGCCTACCACGCCTAGTCAGCCACCAGCTGGCGCGCGACTCTCCCTCCGACAGGCGGGACCACCTGTCATGCCCAGAACCTCAAAGAAAACCCTCGCGAGTCCCGACGCGACGGGAGACCTCCCTCCATACACGCGGTCCACCGTGCCCCGGAAACTCTCGGCCGTGAATCCAGGTCGTGGCGGGCCCCGCCGACCCAACTAGCGGTCCAGAGGCCTCCACGCGAGCCGTGGTCTAGGGAACCGGGTCCGCCCATCTACTTGGTCGCCACGGAAACCCGGACCCGGTAAGAGGGAGCTATAAAAGCGAAGGTGAATGAGGGCATCCCTCCTTCAGCAGCACGCTTCTTGTTGCCAAAGAATTCTCTCCCCCTAGCCGCCGCCGCCGCTGCTCGTCTCGCTGAGAGAAGGTGACGAGACCGAGGAACTCGCCGAGTTCTTGGTAGAGAATCGGTTTTGCTTGTCTCAGCCCGGGGTCTGCTGCGTCGGGTGGTGGTGAAGGGGGGAAATTCGTGAGATCTGTTCCGGATCACGCGTGCGCGCTCGGGAATCGGGGTTCCACACATAGCTTCGTCGATTTGTAAGTTTCGTCTAGTCGATTCCCCTCCTTTTTGTCTCCTTTGTGTTATAGATTCGAGATTTGTTGGATGTGTTGGTGTATGTTGCTGCCTTTAGTTTTCTCAGTGTGAAGGTAGGGGGGTTCATCTTTATTTAGGCATGAATATTTGGAGGGGCTCGTTTCCTGCGTTATCCCTGTTGCTTATGCGTTACCCGTAGTATCGCTGTTCAGATTTAGATAGGTGGATTGGACATTTTCGTTGTACGTATCTTGTTACTTTAAAATTGATGCTAGTCCTGTTAATTGAAAATTGGTGACAGTGGATACGATTCACCTTTGTTTAGATTTGGAAACATGGGTAGGAAATATGTGTTCAGATTTGGAAGCATGGATAGGAAATATGTGTATTACCCTGGTACTTGAAAATTGTAAATTAAAAGTAAGGAAATACTATTAACCTTTTTGTTTGATTTCGATTCATGGATAAGAACTATAAACTCAGTGAGAAAACGCATATGATTTCTTACAGGTGATATCATGTCATCTGGGAAGTAAATGAAATCATACAAGTCTGAATTTTGCTTTTGTTCCCATCAGATCTGCGATTAAATTTGTTTTTCCTATAAACAGGTTTATGTTTGGTAATGTGAATGATTTAGATCTGTTGCTCTAATTAGTTGGAAACACTTATTTTGGCCATACCTCTTTAATGGTGTAACTGTGGTATGCTGTGGTGGTTTCTTTAGCTGTCGCGCCTGGATCATCAACAATTGATCTTGTTTTAACTTCTTGCTGTGAAAACTTTTGTTGGATCTGATGGATAAACTCACTAACTAGTCTGTCCTGCAGGAATTTGATGTACTAATGGAGTCTAAGGGTGGCAAGAAGTCTAGCAGTAGTCGTTCCATGATGTATGAAGCTCCCCTTGGCTACAGCATTGAGGACGTTCGACCTGCTGGAGGCGTGAAGAAGTTCCAGTCTGCTGCTTACTCCAACGTAAAAATCAGTCATTACAATGACGCTCTTCATTGTACCTCTTGTTTTATTAGAGATGTTGCTAATAGCATCAATTTTTTCTTTTGTTGCAGTGCGCAAAGAGGCCATCCTGATATCCCTTTTGGCTTCCTCGTTCTAGTAGTTTAGGATTTCTTTTCTGACACTTTGATTCTGACCAATCCCTCTGGCCTGCTGCTGCTTCCTGATAATCGACCAGTTCCCCTGTCTTGCTCCCTGCACTCCTCCCTCCTCCATCTCCAGCATTGTGTTCTGATTCACCTGCTCCAATGGATGTTCTTTCTGCTGCTGATGCTCCCCTGGTCTCAGCTATCGGGTTTGAGGGCTATGAGAAGCGCCTTGAGATCACATTCTCTGAGGCACCTGTCTTTGTCGACCCTCATGGGCATGGTTTGCGTGCCCTCTCCAGGGCCCAGATTGACTCTGTTCTGGATCTTGCACGGTGCACAATCGTGTCAGAGCTCTCCAACAAGGATTTTGACTCCTATGTCCTCTCTGAGTCAAGCTTGTTTGTCTATCCTCTGAAGATTGTCATCAAGACCTGTGGCACTACCAAGCTCCTGCTCACTATTCCAAGGATCCTTGAGCTTGCTGAAGAGCTGTCTATGCCACTTGCTGCTGTGAAGTACTCCCGTGGGACGTTCATCTTTCCTGGCGCACAGCCAGCCCCCCACAGGAGCTTCTCTGAGGAAGTTGCTGCACTTAACCGCTACTTTGGCGGCCTGAAATCTGGTGGTAATGCTTATGTGATTGGAGATCCAGCAAGACCTGGACAGAAGTGGCATATCTACTATGCTACTGAGTACCCAGAGCAACCAGTGGTTAACCTTGAGATGTGCATGACTGGTCTGGACAAAAAGAAAGCTTCAGTCTTTTTCAAGACTAATGGTGATGGTTACACAACATGTGCCAAGGAAATGACGAAGCTCTCTGGTATCTCTGAAATTATCCCTGAGATGGAGATTTGTGATTTTGACTTTGAACCCTGTGGCTACTCCATGAATGCGATCCATGGCTCTGCATTCTCCACAATCCATGTGACGCCTGAGGATGGTTTCAGCTACGCCAGCTACGAGGTTATGGGCTTCAATGCCACTGCTCTGTCTTATGGTGACCTTGTCAAGAGGGTCCTTGGGTGCTTTGGCCCCTCGGAATTTTCTGTTGCTGTGACTATCTTCGGCGGCCGTGGCCAAGCTGGGTCATGGGGAAAGCAACTCGGTGCAGAGGTTTATGACTGCAACAACATGGTGGAGCAGGAGCTGCCTGGAGGCGGACTCCTCATCTACCAGAGCTTTTGTGCTGCTGCTGAAGACGCTGTTGCTACCTCGCCCAAATCTGTTCTTCACTGCTTCGATGGGGAGAACACGGAGAATGCTCCTCCTGTGAAGGACCGCAAACTGGCTAATCTTCTCTGCTGGGAGGAAGTGGATGCCGCGGAGGAGAAGGATGGAGTGCTTGATTGAGTAAGACGGGCTTCTGGTGGTTTCGATTTGCTTCTCAGTTGTTTTTTTATATCGTTGCAATTTCGTGGTTGTCGTTTGGTTATTCTGTGAAGCAGCCAAGCCAGGCTATTAGTATGAAAAATGTCGTCTGTAAGCATGTGTTCTATGTTGCCACATGCTGAATCAATTTAAATTTGAATAAGTATACAGCTCTAGGTGGTCAGCTGCGTCTACCACAATGAGCATATATGTATGGAGAAATGTCTGTCAAAGCATCTTATGAATAAGAATTGTTTTTGATAAGTGATTCGTTTTCGTAAGCCTGAAATTTCATTGTTTATTATCGATCATATTTCTTTCCATGTGCAAAATAGTTGGACGGATATGTTCCGCGTGCCTGACTACGATTTCAGTCTGTTGCCATTAGCGTCGTCCCAAGATAACCGTCTGAGGTTTGGGAATATGAAACCCTGCCCCGATTCTGTTCTCCATTCTTATACGCTGACGAGGGCGATTCCCTCAACCTCAATTATTGGATTAGGTATGCAATAAACCTTCTCCATCATCTAGAGCCGAACAGGTCTACGGCAGGTCGGCAGCTCTTGCTACGCTGGAGTGAGTGGGTGACGAGGTTCCTCGTCAGTCGTCGTCATCCAACGAGAAGCATCTCATTCTGTTCCGTTTATATGCTGCTAAAGTAGATGGAGACCGTAGGCTGCTGCTACTCGCTGCTTCGCCGAGCCAACGAGTGTCCAGTTCAGATCGCGATTTCTCCGTCAATAGAGTTTTGAATTGCGTTTTTGCTTGGAATACCCACATGCCAGATCCATCAAACTAGAGGGGAGGAGGAATATGCTCTCGTGGTAGCAGTTGCGTACCGCCCTTCTGCGTGAGGAGCCAATGCCGTCCATATCTTTCTTTGCTTCCAGACAGATGCGAAGAGATAGCAGCAGCCGCAGGCCAATGGCGTCCATATCTTTGCTTCCAGAGAGATGCGAAGAGATAGCAGGTCAGGTTCCAAACGAATCGGTTCCATCCGCCTCTTTATTTGGCCGTCCATTGCACTGCGAAATGATGGGACCACCGAACCTGACCCCATCCGATATCACCGACGAACACGAACACCATTCCCAGTAGCCAGTATTTCTTCGCCGAATCTAGCTCCCCGTTGGCCGTCATCCAGCCACCCGTTTGCTAAAGCCGAGGGGAATCTCGTCCCTGGATGGATGCATTTGGATCTCAGGGAAGCTAGAAACTTCTGCTTAGCAAGGTTAAGAAGAGCATATCTATATAAAAGCTGACTTTTGGAGGCAAGTCCGCTTGCAACGGCAGTAAAATTCCTGCAATCCGCGGTGAGCCGAATGGTCTGGCTCTCGGCGGCAAGACTCCCCTTGCTGAATCAAAATGCGTAACCCGGCTCTGATCCCACTATTAAACTCGCTCCAACAGCAGCACGTTCTAAGTTCATGAGCAAATAAATCTGGCCACTAACCAAACAATCAGCTAATAAGGCAAATCTGGTATGAGCCCCAATGAGTTTCTGTAGCTCCAACCGGGTTATGAATCTGGCCACTAAAGTAATCCCAGGGGCGGGCGTGCGCGTGTCCATTCCGAATCCTGATCGGCGACTCCTGTGCTCTCGGTCCCGTGCACCACCCGGAAGGTCCGAAGCATCGCGGCGTGCGGCGTGCGGCGTGCCGACCTCTCGGCCCGACACCGCGAAAGAAGAGAGCACACCTCGTGTTCGTGTCGCGTCTCCCGTGTCCACTACCTGTTGTACCCGTCTCCCATGCGCATCCTGGGGAATGGGATTGCATCTCCAGATGCGCTAGCCTGCTGAACGCTAGTAGCACCCGGCCAAATCAAAGTTTGCCCTAGGGAAGCCTCTGCGCGCGCGTGAGCTAAATATGTTTGAGCCCTTGTTTAGTTCGCGAAATTTGGATTTTGGGGTTACTGTAGCACCTTTGTTTTTATTTGGCAAATAGTGTCCAAACATTGACTAATTAGGCTTAAAACGTTCGTCTCGCAATTTCCCACCAAACTGTGCAATTAGTTTTTCTTTTCGTCTACATTTAATGCTCCATGCACGGGTCGCAAACATTCAATGTGACAGGTACTGTAGCAACTTTTTGAATTTTGAGGTCCAACTAAACAAAGGCTGAATGTTATATATCTAGCTTTTGCTACGAACAAAAAATGTGAATGAACTAGCTTTTGCTATGAGCAAAAAATGCAAAAGAAAAATGAAAAGACATTATAGTTCACGATCAAAGGTATTTAGCTAGAAGATAGTATGTTATGGCACATAGGCCCCGATTCATTTGATCCGAAACTTACATTTGAAAAACTCGTTCTATTTGGTTTATTGTGAGAGAAAAAACATCAGAAGGGGTGGAAACCGGTGAATCTTCAGAGGAGAACCGGTAAATTTGGTTCATTGGAACCGCACCAATGAACAAGGCCATAGATGGTTTATCATTAACTGAAAAGTTCTTATATTGGTCATTAAGAGTAATAATATTAATAATTGAAAATTTCTTATTCCATCGTTTGTAGAAACTCCTTGGATCCATCCTCCACATCTCAATAAACCGATCCATCCTCCATATCTCAATAAACCTAATCCAAATCTGATACGACAACTCAGGCTGGGCACATTTCACCAAAAAATCGAAAACCGAACCGAACCGAGCTGAAAAGTCGGTTTTTTCGGTTGTTCGGTTCGATTTCGGTTTCTATGGTGGGGAACTTCGGCTTCGGTGCTCGGCTTCGGTTCTGGTGTTCAACCGAACCGAACACCCGAATCAACCGAACTTGACATCCGGGACTCCAAAGCACAGACTGTTGTCCGCAAAGCAGATTGGCAGCAGCCCAAACCGAAGGCCTAACATGGCCCAACGGTGAACACACCTACACCAACCTGAAACAGTGAAAACCCTATCCCCAAATTCTTTGGTGATTTTGCTTCCCTTCGGTATGCCAGCCAGCTAACTCTTGAAGCGTCCGTTCCTCAACAGTAGAGAGAGGCGACGTGCCGGCGATTTCTCGACTCCCCACCGGATTTGCTGCTTCTCCTCGCCGTCGGTGGCCTTTTTTGGCGCCGATGTGTTTGGGGAACGACGGATGTACATATCCTCTTTTAATAGAGTAGTTTGTCCTAGAATAAGGTTGGATTTCTTACCGGTGGAGATGTTGTCGGTAAGCTTTTGTCCCTTCCAGAGTTTCTCTACTATTGCCTGTGTTCGTGGTGAGCAAGTCCTGGTGCTGTCTGAGGTGCATGTGCATGTGGTGATTGATGGTGATATCTTTTGCGGGGATCTCAACATCGATGGGTATGATCATCGATTTTATCTTCTGTGTTGGTGTTCGGTTTCCCTGTGATTTTCTTGGTGCCGTTGGTGCCCACGGTGCTGACGATAGTGCTAGTCCTGTAATCCAGAATACTGCAATGGATATAAGGAGAAATTTTGGAAGGTATGTCTACCAACTCGTAGAGAAATCGGTTTGGGTTTGGATCCCACCTTCTTTTGTGATTTTGCTTCCCTTCAGGTTGTATCTTTCTCCAGTGAGTCAGGGCTGCTGGTGGCCTTTGAGGCGCCAGATTCCTTATTTTATTGACGATGTGATGGCCGGCGGCCATATTCTTCAGCCAGGACGTTCAATTAGCTTATAGCATGTCGATGCACTCAATATGCGACTCATGGTGGCATTGAAAAATTGTGAAGAGCTTTCGTCTAGAAGGTGGTCGGCTTCAAGCTACAGATTGCTCGGCGACGAGGTCAACCGGGAGGACCATGATCTTGCAAGGACTGGGTTGTAGTTTCGTTTTCCCCGAGAGGGTCTTTGTAAGATTTAGTGTAAACATTAGAAGTTTATGTAATATATTTTTCCGGTTTCTTAAAAAAATCCATTCGCATTCTCTCCTCGTGAGTCACGACGGGTGGCCGCGGCGGCACTGGCGCACTGTGAGGCGCGGGCGAGCGCGGCGTTGAGGCGGAGGCGTGGCTGCTGCACGGCGCGGCGGTGGTGGCGTGTCGCGGATGCGGGCAGGCCGCTGGCAGCAGTCGCATGAACAAGCCGCGGGCGGCAGTGACGCAGTGGCGCGTCTGCAGATCCGTGTGATTGCTTGCTACTGTTTGTGCTTGCTTGCTTCTCTCAATCTCTCTAGAGTGAATGCTTGTGCCAGACAAAGTGAACCATTATAAATCATGTGTCATTGAGTGCTAGGCCACATCCGATCACAACGTACGGCAAAACTATAAATATTTACTTGTTGGTCACTTTTCACACTGACAGTTGGCGCCGTCCGTGGGGAGGACGCCGTGCGTTCACGCCTTTGTTCATCGGATGGCCCACCTTTCCACCATCTTCGGCATGGCGGGCTCGAGCAATACGATTCGTTTCGGCTCGCTGGAGTTTCCCACACTCCCACTTGCTGGATGTGGGCTCCTCCTGTCTTCGTAACACTTCAGACCTTCCTCTTCGAAAGTCTGGACTTTGTCGCCGACCAGCTCGACGTACTTTGCCTCCGCTAAGAGGCGCTTGTCCCGGCGCCCACTAGAGGAGGAGTGCCCTCCACCGACTGCAACGGGCCACTCGACAACCTCAACGTCGAGACACCCGCACTTTGCCTTGAGCCCATGCTGGGATCAAACCCCACAGTGAGTGATGTATATATTGTTCTTTACTCACTATTTAACACCTTCCCCCGTTGCCCCCACCGCGACCGCTGTGCGACCAGTTCCCCTACGGCTTCGCGTCCCCCGTGGACACATGCGCGTAAGGATGCTGACACCGCCCCTCTCACGTCCGAGTTCGTGGGGATGGCGGGCTACGCTCCCGCCTCCTTCCATGACCTCGTCGACGACGAGGTCGAAAGCGATGGCTCCAGCATCGACGACGTCATGGCACCTAGCCACCCTCTGTCCTAGGAGTGCGCTATGGCGGACGCCCCGGGACAACCACTAGAGGTAGTGGAGTCTCTACAGACTCACACCCTCTGGACCCCCGTGCGCAGGCCC